GCAGCGCCGCAAAATAACTGTCGACACTGCAAAAGACCATGGAAAATTCAAAGAAACAATTCTGGGAAACTACATAAGATGGTTTTAGTTTCCTTATGTGAATCAGATAATCCAACAACTGATGTCGCGACGGTGGATCATGACCGCGCAAACAATAATGACAATTATAAAATTTGAGTTATCCGCATTTCGAGACCAATGAAATCGTCCGTCTGAAAGTGATTCAGCAGTTGCAGTTAAACGTCGAACTTCAACGGTAGCATCAATCGAGAGCCATCGTGCTCCAAGCATGATGAATCAGTACAAACCACATCAAAAGCTGCCGAAATACATTAAAGAGAAGATCTGTTGTGGACGCTCAACAAACGCCAGTGGGTAAAACCTATTTACAGTCTGATTGGTGTCAGTGACTCACCCTCATTTTTCATTCGTTACCCTTATCGATCGCTTGATGAGCACGCTCACATCTTCTCAAACTGGCATACGCGACTGGTCAGAAGTGAATGAGCGGTCGTATCCGCTGTCGATTGTCTTGTCTCAGTTCTCGGGTTGTAATGGAAGTTCGACTGACAGGTTTGTGAGGCATTGCAAGCAAACACTAGGGGTCATGCTTCGAACTTGGCGGAATCACTAAGGTATCGACCAGTCTGAGGTGCTTTCTGGGGACTAGACTATCAAAGAAATCGTGATCCACCAAGACAAGGCAATGCTTTTTCAAAAAAGTCTTTGTTAATTCCAGGGAAATATTATGGTCCTGGCGAAGAAAAGATGTCGCATTCCCCGTAAAATAGTCCCGTGCTTCTACCAGTAGATCATCATTAATGCATAAGATTACAAAGCTGAACTAGTAGGAAAACCTGCCCTAGTGATTATGATCTGAAATCACCATTTGCCGATTTATGTGACAATAATTAATTTTGTTTTAGCAGTATTGGTCAATTTGAGTCGAAACAAATGGAATTTTAACATATCACAGTGTGTGACTATTTCGGAGTGAAGGGAAGACCAAAGACTAGGTCGAAAATTCGACTCTCACAAATCGTCTGCAGGTCATCTGAATCGACTTGCGACTGTGGACAGCTCTGTGTCCATTATTCCCTCTTAAGTGCGAATTCCATTCCTTACGTGGCCAAATCAACAGCCGCTGGCTGTTTTGCCGACCGATCGATAATTTTAAGTAAGTTGCTTCCGACTCAGCTTTTCATTTATCGATTTTTATTTAAATCAGAGCTAAATGCAATCTAATTTGAAGAGAAGTGCATATTTTGAAGGAAGGTGACACTATCACAGGCTTCAGAGTCCTTCAGGAATTGGCATCGCTTTTTGCAACCCATAAACCGGTTCACAAATGACTCTAGCAGACAGACCATAATCCATTAAATTACTGAGTTGAATTCATCCGTGATTTCGTGTCCGTGTACACGCGTGTCTTTGTGTCGTGACGTAGGTGTCAGACATTGCCATTAACACACTGCAAGTGTAGGATTAAGCGTGTGCGTGTGTGTTTTGGCCTCACGAACAAGTACAAACGCAGTCGATTAAATCAGCAGTCTACTTTTTTTCCACTATCTCTTGGTAATGCATTCTGCAAATGTGTTTACTGTGTACCTTGAAGGCATCGACAACATGCAAGCATGTGCGCTCATGCACACACGCACCGTTGTCGCCAAGCCTCGTGCCGCTAACAGGCACACACACACAACATACGAGGGCGCGCGTTGATTGGGCAATGCATCGTGCGTACACTGTTAGCTCATTGGCCAATGTGAGTGGCGCACGGGAATCCGAAGGCCACGGGAATACGTGTGTGTGAGTGTTTTTGCGTATTCTCTGGATGATTATTGCGTAAGACTACATCGGCACTCATTAGCCACGGAAGTACCTGAGTCTTGGAACCCCACCAAGTGAATGAACCGGTGTTAAGTACCTCCAATTGATCAACAGCGCCCCTAAACCAACGCCGACAGATGCAATAGCTTTGAGTGAGTCAGCAAATTTTTGGTGTTTCCTTCAAAGACATTAACAGACACTGAGGAGACAATCTGTGTGCGTGTGTGTCGAAAAATTCGTTTTAACTCAATGCAGAGTGCTTGTTACTTCGGTATCTGCATCGTTTATTGCTCCCATGACATGTAGTTTACAAATTACACCGATCATGTCATTGCTTCGAGCATCCATCACCGTTCACTCATACCCTTCCCTCGTTTTTTTATAGCTTCCTACATCAAGGAAGTTTGTTTACTTCAATTGAACGCTTGTTGCAATTTCCGTTGATCAGTATTAGGGTGAAATCCGACCTTGTAAAACCTTGGAATGTTAAACTTCAGAGCAGTGCAGACATCGTCTGTATTGCTTCCATTCATTCTTTAAATCATGCGTTTTAAGCCCTACCCACCCAAAAATGCCTGCTCTCTCTTAATCAGTGAATCGTAGGTCATTACTTCGACACGGAACCAGGAAATAAGGTAACTTTTTGGTCAACCGAGATTGCAGGACCACGGTCACATGGCAGAAATTACGCAGAATCGGAGTGGGCAGTTGTGGTGCACAAAGGTTTGCTGCCATCTGATGGAACGCAAGAAATACGGTCTGAATGAAATTGAGGGCTGTGGTGGGCTGTGGCGCTAGGGTTTATTAAAACGGGAAGTTGGCTATTGTGAGGCGGGCAGGAGCTGGCAATGCTGCTTTATTAATAAGGCGCCGATTATGGCAGCGCAAATTACGTGACAAATGAACACACAATATTCAGTCTTCACGGCGTCCAGAGTAGATAAGCTTGAAAATGAACTGTTAAAAAAGAACAAAGGAGTTGAAAAATGTCTGCTTAAAACAACTCTCGGGTGGTCATTTTGTAAACAAGTCACTTGGACGTGGTCGTTCTTTTTCATCTCCAAATGCCCACTCAGTCTAACGCATAGATGCAACACTTTTAGGCTTTGCACAATGTCTGAGTAAAGATGCTGAACCATGATATTTTGTTCAAGATGATTGGCTCATTCATGACCTTGAACCACTTAAACAAAATGCTTAACGGGCTTGAACTCACACAAAAAGCTGCAAATTTCTTTATTACAGAAAATTTTGAAACGAAAACCTGTGACCTTATATGCTTTACATTAAGCCAAATGTGTAGTTGTCTTCTTGGAATATGTAACAATCAAAAGAATTTTTTAAATGTCCTTGAAATGACCTTTAGAGGGGATATTATTAGGACTGTTTTTATGCACTTTAACGTAGGGAATTTCGTGACCCTAATGAATGCTTGTTTCTTAAATTTTGCCAAATCTTATTTTAAAGATGCAAAATTAAGATTTAGAGTTAAATAAATGTTGACCCTGGCAGTCCATCAATGTCGTAATATAAGAAGCCACATTAAGGGGCTTTTTAACTGGTAGCCATAGAAACGTAGGGCCAATAAGCTTCATTTCTGCAATACACCCTCACAGGATTAACTTTGTTTAGCCTTCCTAAGTTGCCGTCACGTCTTCAAATTTTGCTGACTCGACAGTCGCCTGACATCGGGCACAAGTCTCAAAGAGACAGCAAAAGCAGTTGTTGTTGTCGTTGCTGCTGCTGCTGTTGATGATGATGATGATGATGCTGTAATTAAACACCATCAATCGAATGGCGCACAACAAATATGGGATGTTGGGAAATAGCAAACGGAGTATAAGTAAATAGTTAGTCGGTGAGAGAAGGAACGACCATCATCAGTCGCACGAATTGAATCAAGCTGGAGACCAAAGCGACTAATTGGTAAAACAACCCGGTTAATTAACGATGTGGAAAGGGTGGATCACATGTTTGCCTCTTTGCACTCATTACGCTTATTGAATGCAATTTGTATGAAACGCACTGATTCTTGCTGAATGCGAATGCAGAGATTAACACCGTTTTCACTTTAAAACTTTTCCATCAACGGCCAGTGCAGGGCTGTGTGTGCGTGTGTGTGTGTGTGTTGTGCGTCAGTGTGTTTTTGAATTCCACACAGAAACGTGAAATGCGATTGTACCAAACACACAAAAGCTGTTTTCCCTGGTAGTTGCGTGAAAAGGCACAAGAACGAAAGGTGTGCGTTTGTGCGAAAATTCACACGATGTTGACCTTGTTGATCAAAATCCCTCCTGGTTTCAACTTGCGTTTCGTTAATGTTACATAAAATGGGGCCATTTTTAATGCACTGGCAAAATAGCAACCAATATACTTGTACACACACTGGCTCTACGATTGGAGTGGTTAGTTACAGTTCCTTATGCAATCAAGTGTGCCAAAATGCAACGTTATCCAGGTGTGACCAAATCTTAGGTATTACTAAAATCACACATTTCATTACAGAAAGTGCTTGAAGTGTGAATCGTTGGTTGTAAGGTCGAGGCGTCCTTATCCACTTTCAAATGACTTAGTGCTTGGTGCATCGTAGTTTGCATGGTTTTTGAGAGAGGTATATAATAAAGACAGAGTCTTGTACATTGAAAGCGATGACTGCAAGATCTGCTGAAAATCCAAATAAATTTCATTCCACTTATCTGAAATTTTTAACAAGATTTAAGGTAAGGTTCAGTATGATGG